TCTCTTTCATTTGCTGCATATTTGTTAGATCTAATTCCGACTTTTTAACAAGATAATGTCATTCTCATAAAGCTAACTCCATTATATTGGTTAGAATAAAGTAAAATTAAATTAACCAAACAGCTGGCTTAATCAACAGATCTTAACCAAACCAAAAATGTATAGAATGTGATTGATAGAAAACAAACCTAAGCTTCTGAAACTTCTGCTGAAAAGCTTTAAGAAACTTTTAGACTCTTTTGATAGCCTAATAAATAATTATTACAATACCCCTAATAATTTACTAAGACAGTAAAAATAATTCTTAATGTTCTTGAATTATTAAAAGAACAGGAAAAAAGCCTTTTTATTTTTGTGATAACAAATGTAAGAATAAATAAACAACATAAAGTGGGAGATAAATAGTTTGTTCTTGTAACTTCTAAAACTTTGGTCTATTTTATATTTTATCCAGATGTTTGCCTAAACCTGATATATATTGTTAAATATTAGAGTGAAATGGTTTTCAAGGCATGATATTTATAGCTTTCAAAGTGACCATTCAGCAAAATGTAGTTAAATCTGTTAAATTTTATCTTGGTTGTGTTTTCCAAACCATACAGTGAATAAAAGTTGCAGAATTATTCAAACAAGGCACCATGACCACCAATATGTTAAATTACCTAGAAATAATTGCTAGGTTTTTCACACAGCTAAAAGGACTTTTTATATTTTATATCAAGCAATCAATAAATACCTTCTAAACTGCAACTCATTAGTAACAAAATCATTTAACCATAAATTATCTTTTTTTTTTTTTTTTTTTAAATTTGTTATTTAGGTGCCCCAAGAAGTCCTAATGGTCTTGTCGCAGAGCACAGCGGAAGTGCATTTAACCAGGAAGTTCACACCTCATTCCTTAATGTGACCCAAAATAAGTCCAAAGCTCGTTTCGAACTTGGATCTCCTGCTTATTAGGCAAGCGCTCTAATCACAGCACCACGGCCACACTTGTTGCTTAATGTATATATATACATTTAATGTATATATATACATTTAATGTATATATATACATTTATATATATATATATATATACATATATACACTTAATGTATATATATACATAAAGTATATTAAATAATGTTTATAATTGAAATATTGGTAAATAAAAATATATATACTTTTTGTTTATAAATTCACATTTACTTTCAAAACAAGTATATCCAATCACAGCTTAATTAGCTAAATGCACAATATCCATTTTATAAAGAATTATTAAATTAAATGAAAAATTAGCAATATCCATTTTATAAAGAATTATGGAAAGTTTATAAACTTTAAAAGACCTAAATAACTTTTAATAATCAATTTTACCTAACATATTGTAGAAATCTGTGTATTTAATGTTTTGGTAACTATATTTTAATGACAATGTGACTGTAATTTTGGTAATGACAATGTTTTTTTAATGTGACTGTAAACAATATTCTGTTAAAGTAATATAAACTATTAAGTTTCAATTGCGAATTAAAATTTATTGTAGAGAGTTAAATATGAGACAATAAAATTAAATAAATAAATAATTTTTTTTAATTTTACATTCAATTTTAAAGTTGAAAAGATAGTGATAGTGTAGTTGTAATAGTGATAATTAGATTTTTAAAATGTTGCTTTTACAAGGAAAGAAGCATCAACACTATGTTTATTTCTTGCTTGGCATTTAAAAATAGAAAAGACATATAAAAATAGAAAAGACATATAAAAATAGAAAAGACATATAAAATAGAAAAGACATAAAAACAGATAAGACATAAAAATAGAAAAGAAAATAAAAAATTTGATGCATTGAAAAATGCATCAATTTTTTTAAAACACCTCTCTTATCTTCATAAGCCATTTATTTTTTATTTTCGCCTCTATTTTCAAGTCTTAGGATTAATTGACAATTAACATGCTTAGGATTAATTGACAATTAACATAACATAAACATCATCATTATACTTTTTAATGAAATAAAATTTAAATAATAAAACACTGCATTAGCCTCATTTTTTCAAAATATCTGTTAAGTCCTTATAAATTAAAAATAAACTACACAATTTCTATGTTTTTTTAAAAATGGCACATACCGAGTTTTAAAAATAAATTCTTCATATGTTGATATATGATATATGTACTAAAAAGCATATGTATCATGTATCATATTACATATATACTAATTTACTTCCAACAAGACTGCAAGCAACCACTATTAAATTAGGAGTTACTAGGAAAAAAAAAGAATAGAGTTAAGGAGCAAGAAACGATTGAAAGGAGACTTGAAAAATTGTAGGAATCAGAAAAACATGAAGATTGGAGAGAGTTCCAAAGGGTTGAAGTGCTTGGAAAAAATAAAAAATAATAAAAGTTTTGAGAGCATGCAGGGACAAATAAAGTATAAAAATGAGACTTTGATGATTGACAAGTCAAGCGAGAGTTTTAGTTGATTGAACTAGAGATGATTGCTCCTTCGAGCAGTGACCATGATAGTATTTGCAGAAAAGAGAAAGAGATGCAACTTTATGATGATGGGAGATCAAGCTTGGCAGATAGAACAGGTCTAACTACATTTACAATACATTTGTGGGCCTCGTCTAGAAGAAAGAGCATCATTAGAAGAACCAACCTAAATATAACAATACAAACAATACAGGAGGCAAATAAGAGATTTGCAAAGATAGAAAATGGCAAGCACAATAAAGAGAAGCAACCTTAGCAGATGCTAATTTAACAATCTATTGTATATAACTTTTTGATGAGAGGTCAGTAGTGAATGATAATTCAAGAAGACGTAAAGAAAAGGATTCACTTACAATAACAGAAGTGAGATCAGATTCAAGTTTAGCTGCCTGTTCTATAAAATTGAAATAAAAAGACTTTTTGTCAAGACAGGAGTATAAAGTTGAGTCATCAGCAAATAGAGATACTTTTAGATGTAAGGTTGTCAGGAAGATCATTAATGTAGATAAGAAAAAAAAGGACTAAGGATAGCACCTTTAGGTACCCCAGAAGTTACTGAAATTGAAGAAGAGAGTTGGTCTTCAAAAATGACTTTAATAAAGTGGTTAGAAAGAAATAATTTGATAATCTCAAAAAATTTTCCCAGATACACCATATGAGGCAAGCTTATGGAGAAGATCAGCATGTCAAACTTTGTTAAAAGCTTTAGATATGTCAAGAGCAACAGCCCTAGCCTCTCTGCCTCCATCTAATACACAAAAAAATCTTTCAGTCACAGTAGTTAGCAAGTCAGCAGTAGAGCGAGTAGATCGAAAACCATATTGATTGTCTGACAGTAAGTTATTTGATGGGATGTGAGAAATTTGTTTATCAAGGACTCAAAGACCTTGCTAATAACAGAAACAAGATTGATTTGTTGATAATTGGAATCACAAATGCCATTCTCCAGCAGGAAAACAAGACTCAGCCTAGCACTTATTAAATAGTTTGAAAGGACTTCTGGAGAACAATTTTGTAAGACTATGACATGAATGTTGTCTAGACCACAAGCCGTAGAAGAGTTTAATTGAAATATGATTTTAGCAATGGAAACTGGAGTGATTTGAATGTCTAACAAAGGGTTAACCTTTTTAATTGAAATAGAAAGAAGAAGATGGCCATAAGATTTAAGAGTCGAATTAGAAGAAAAGTTCTTTGCCAATAGTTCTGCTTGATCCTTGGGAGAGGTAATAAGATCAGTCCCATAAATGAAAGATGGAATGTTAGAACTACTTTTGTTATTGACACTGTTGAAGACTTTCCAAAAGTCTTATACAATTCTTTTTTAAGAAACAAGATATAAATTTGAATTATTAACAAGATATAAATCACCCTGTTGTAAGTTACAAAATGGTCAAACCTTAGCAGTTTAGTATGAGGCATCCTGGAGCTTTACACAAAGCAAGATAGATGGCAAAACTTCTGTATGAAAATGTCCATTGTCTGGTAAGATAATTTCTCAAGTCAGAAGTTGCAACCAAAGATCAATTCTAGAAATTGAACATTTCTGTGTGTTGGCTGTGACTGTCTACATGTGATGGTGGATTGTATACCTAGTTGCAGTCAATGCCCCGCCAATCATTTAGTTTTAGCTGAGAAACCAAAACAGTTCGCACACGATCATTCTATTATTGCAGACAAAGCAAAAAAACTGTTACCAGACAGGTATCTAAATAAAGAGCTTGTTTGATTAACTCTTTTCTCACAAATGGTCTCTGACAAAGATAAAGGGATTATGAGGCTCAGCATCCCTAATTCGAAGCCTTAAGATACAGAGTGTATTACTACAAAAGGCATCATACCCCATTATCAGCATACAATCATTTACCCTGTTATTGCAAAAAAAAAATTGTTTTGTTCAAGAACTTATAATAAACTAATTAATAAATATAAAATTGCTTCTCATTAAATAGATTTTAACATGGTAAAAAGCTATACCTTTCGTTTACTGCTTGAATCTTCTAAACTCCAAATATTAAAAAAGTTGTCTAAAACCAAAAGATCAGAAAGTGTTTTGAAAAGTTTACATATTTTAATAAACAGTTTGGTACTTTCTATATGCAGTTTTAATAAATCTGTGATGACAAGCAACAAGGTAAGTGCAAACTCAGCAACAGATATTTGTTCTTGCATCAATGCTTCAGTAAAATTATTAGATTCAAAATTATCTTCACCTAAAACAAAATAAAAATATATTGATTGATTATATAAAAATAAAACAAAGATTCTAGTGCATAAAACAGTGCTCAATATTATAATATTAGAGCAAAAAAAAAAAAAAAATATATATATATATATATATATATATATATATATATATATATATATAATAAAACAATAATATACAATACTGTTGAGATTTAACGCCATGTTAAATCTTTTACAGACAACAAGAAAGTTAAAGATAGTCAATTAAGTCTAGTTTAGCTTTAAATAAGTTGAGATTTTTAACATCCACTGTTTCAATTAGTATATTGTTCCA